CCCATTCGTTCGGGGCCCCCTTAATTGAGTCACCAAACCTTGCTCTGCTGTTGGTCTCTGCGCCCTGCACGGTATCAAGTGTGCCTCCCTCTGGAGCTGCCCGTCCTGCCGGGCCTGGCTCCTTCGTCATCCTTGTTCCAAGGGGCAGAAGATGTCTGTGCTGGAACACAGGCCCTGTGCAGTGCGGGGGCAGCAGGCCCGTCGGCCCCATGCTCAGATGACGGGGTCCGGTGCCACGCCGCTGACCAAGCGGAACCTGGGCCACCTGTGTGGAGTGGAGGAAGCAAGAGCCTTCTGTTTTGTGCTCTGGCAGGATTAACTCTTGGGAACCAGGAAAGGATGCGGCGGGTGAGCAGGCGTCGGCTCAGGTCCCCTCTGTGTGGAGAAGAGTGCCGGCGCAGCGAGGTTGTTGGTACGTCAGTTCTGCAGGCTGCGAAGGGCCGCACAGTTGTTCTAAAGCAGGGCCAGGGGAGCTGCTCAGCATGAGGAGAGGGAGAGAGCAGGAGGGATCCCGCAGGCCCAGGAAGCCGTCGCTAGTTCTAGGCTGCACCACGGACTGTGCTAAGGAAAGGTTTGCGCGGCACTCGCCCTGGCACTTGGCTTCCCCGTCGTGATGGCTGCTGGGCCTGGTTGTGGGTCTGTCAAAACAGCTGCCCTTGAGGATTCACGTAGGCCAGCTGGGGAGATAGGCCTGGAATCCGCAAGAGGCCGCACAGGAAGAACCTGAGTCTGCTTTTATGGCTCTTATCGAAGGACGGGGCCCTGCGTGCCCTTCCCGCTGGAATCTCTCCAGGCCTTTTGGGTTTGGGATCCCCCTCGATGGGCTGCGGGAGTCTCGGCCGCTCGCCCCAGTGGCACGGCACGGCCCTGCCCCGTTGCTCCGGGCTCATGGTATTTACTCAGGGCGCTCTCGGTCGCTCTCCTGCGCCTGCAGTCGCGCCCCGTGCAAGCGTGCAGGGGCCTCCTCATAAAGAGGAAAGATCGAGCGATAGCCTGACTGATGACTTCATCAGGGTTTCTACACTGCGTACGTGCAGCGACGACAGTTGCAAGCAATTGAATCCCGGGGAGAGGGAGGTTACACATTCCGTTTTGCATTTTGACATTTTTCTCCTGCCTTTCTGCAGAAGTCAGCAAGGTGGGATGCAGCAATAAACCAGGATATAAAAGCAGAAAAAACTGCAGTACATCCAGATTTTAACATTTGTCAGCATTAAAACCCAAAGAAGCAATTAAGCGCTGCCTTTTGAATCTTATTTTTTCTTATCGCCAGACTTTTTTCACTGCCTTGCCACTCCAAGTGTCTGTGTGCACAAGAGTAAAAGTAACGTAAAATCAAGACTAGGCCCCCCCTCCCCAATGGCGCTAGTAAAAGCAAATGGTGCTAGGAACAGCCCATCCTTTTTAAAACCCGAGGAGAGCAGGGAAAGCTCCTTATTGCATGAATTTATGAAGGCTTTCAAGGATGAACTTAAAGGAATGACTTCACGGACTCCGTGTTTTAAAAACTAAACTGAACACCGGCAACTTTATGGGCTTTGCCTGAATCTCTGCCCGCCAAACACACACAGCAGTAGCTTCTAGTGTACCGCTCAGCAAGTGCCTCAAAATGGCTTTATGTTGCTATCATGAATTTGTGGCATTTATGCCTCGCCTCACAAGAGCAACCCTCTGTGGCAGGCCAAAGCCACCTAGTCGGTTTCATGGCTGAGGGGAACTGGAACTCGGGTCTCTGGAACCACAGTCCTGTGCCTTTAGCCACTAGACCACGCTGCTCGCCAGGATGTCAGATTGTGTCTGCTTAGCACAGGGGCACTCTGGGAATGGTGAAACTGAAATCCAGGCTCGCAACTGAAATCCAGACTTGCGCTTCAGGATTTGGCCTGCTTTGATGTCAATCTTTATCCCTCTGGCTATTGTGGGCTTTGACTTAAACTGCTCCC